AATCAATGATATAGAATACAAAATATAAATGATATTCAATATGTTAAACAAATTGAATACTTAAATAATATAACATTAGAAAATTAAATTAAAATGAATTTGAAGTAATATCTTGTTGATTATTTATTATAATTGTTTTATTTTATTTATTATAATATTTGAATATTAATGAATGATATTTAATGTATAAAATATGAATATTTATATAAAATAATAAATATACATAATAAATATAATAAATATATAAAATATTCATTTTATATTATTATTTAATTTAATTTTAATATTATAATAATGAATTTATATGAAATGAGAATGTATTTATCAATATTATGATATTGAAATAAATAATTATATGAAATAACATATTAAATGAATTAATTATTTTAATTGATTAATGTTATTATATATTATTTATTTTATTCATTATATGTTTATTTTATATTTTCATTATCATTTTATATTATAAAATATTTGTTATTATTGTTATTAAATATTGATATGTTAATATTAATCATTATGTTTATATTCAGATTTGATTATAATCATATTATTTGATATATTTATTATTCATTATCTATTTTATTATTTATTTCTATTATTTATTTCATTTTAATCATTTTATTTTTATTTTATAATAGAAATAAATAAATCAATCAAATTAATAATGAATAATTGAATAATTATTATATTTGTGAATATTTATATCTTATTTTGATGTTTATTTTATTTGTTTATTATTTTGTTTATTATCATATTAATATTTTATTTTAATGATTGAATATTATTTATTAATGAATTAAATAATCATGTTTATTTATCATTATCATATTTATATATTATTTATATTTATCATATTATTTATTTTAGAGTTATTTATATGAAAATATCAATTCATTTTATATTTCTTTGTTTTAAATTTCAATAAATTATTATTTATCTCTTTTTTGTTCATTGTTGTAATACATCATTTTTCTGTTTATTTCTTATTATCAACTTCTCTTTTTGTTAGTTTCTTGATATTCTCATTTTGTTTATTATTCATTTCTTCCATTCGTTTCAGATATGTGCAATATTCTGTATATTCATTTTCTGTGATGATGTTTAGTTCATACAACTTCTCTATTTGGTTGTGGTATTTGTTTATTTCTTCTTTAATAAAACTCATTGGTGTTTCGATTGAACTTTCTATTTCACTTTGTCGACTATTTGTATTGATTTGTTGTGTTGCTAGTTGTTTTAGAAGTTGGTGTACATCTGTTTGATTCTCTACAATTAATGACCCATATAATTCTTTCTTCTCTTGAAAAGGCTTTTCTAATTCTGGTTGGAAATACTTTGTAATTACATCTTTCAATGTCACATTATCAGTAAATAATTTTGTTCCATTATTCCATTCATTAATCTCAGTCAGTTCTTTGTTCATTTCTTCTTTATTTTTTTTTCTCAGTTCATTCTTATTATATAGTTTATTTATATAGTTTATTTATATTATTATTATAGTATATGTTTTATTCAAAATGTTGTTTCAATTATTCATTACTTTATTTGCTTTCATTACTTTATTTATTATTCATTATTTAATATAATTTATTGTGTATGTTTATTATATTAATATGATGAATGAATGTTAATAATAGTATTTATTTGAATTTAAAATAAAATAAAATATCAAAAATATTAATATTTAAAGAAAGGAATAATAATAATAATATTATTATTATTATTATTGTCATTTTTATCACTCTTTTTTAAAAATTAAAAAAAAAAATGAAAATGAATTAGAAAAAATAAATGTTTTTATAAAAAATTGAATTTATATTTTACAGATTGATGAGTACTGATCTTTATTCAAACTACATTATTGGTATTAAGATTCTTTGTGGAATTGAATATGATCCAAATATACCAATTGATAGTTTTGTTTATTTAATTGAAGGAGATTTATTATTAAAATTACAAAAAAACAAAGAAATAGTTTGGTATTAGTTTAAGTTGTTAGGTATTGAAACAAATCATAAAACTAATTACACAGGGTGAAGAAATATTTGGAACTTTAAGTGGCCTTATTTCTAATTCAATCAATGCTTCATTAGTAACAAAAGAAGTTATTACATATATTATTGATCAATTAAAACATTGTTCAAGTGATCATGCAGCATATTATATGATAGATATTATATCTAAAAGAATTGGATTTTATTTGGATGTGGAATTAATCAAAGAATTAATGCAACTTTATTCATTACTTCCTCTAACACAATCATCACAACTAACACAATCACTAGCTCATACTTTATCAAAGAAAAATATTCCAAGAATTTATTATTCATTTACAGGATTTGGTACTTCAATTAATTGTGTTCTTTCAGTTAATGAGTGGCCAAAAGAAAGTTCAATTTATCATACAACATTTAGACCAACTAAATTTATTGAAGGAAATACACCATTAATATTTTCTTTTTCTACTAATTCATATGAAATATCACTGTGTATTAATACACAAAATTATCATTTATTATTAAAAACAGATTGTTTAATGTCATCAGGATATGAAAAGAAAATGGTAACGAATAATAGAATGAGTATGACTAGAATTTATGATACTCAAATCCCTATTATGTTAAATGAATGGTATTCAATTTATTTATTACATAAAAATGATGGTTCATTTCAAATTCAATGTAACGAACATATTTTATCAAATTTAACTGTTTCTTATCCTAATTTTGTATCAAGTAATATTGTTTTACTTCAAATTGGTGGTGATAGTGATAAACCAGGTTTTTGTTTTGTAGGAGATATTACTGGATTTCAATGGTATTATAATTATGAATCAATTGAATCAGCACAAAAATTTTTAACAAATAATATAATATTAAGAAATGATATAAATACATTTCTTGGGTTACAAATATCACCATTGAAATCAATGATCATTGGAGATAAACCATTTTATAAAATTGTTTCAACAGTTAAAAATCAGTCAAATAAAACTAATATTATTAATGTTTGTTCAAGCATGGTTAATTCAACATTTTCACCTGTTTATTGTGGATCATCATTTAGAATAGATGATATGATTTTAAGAATTGGAGGTATTATTCCATTTTGTTCATTACTTCATTTTGGATTTGGTTATAAGGAATTTAATACTTCAAATATTCCTTCTATTTTACAATTATTATCAGCAATATTTAAACGAAATGAAATACTAAGAAGTCAATGTGAAGAAATTAATTTCTATAATATTATTCTACAATTTTTGTTATCGAATGTTAATAAAGGAGATATTGGATGTGCAATTGATTATCTTTCTATTTGTGTTAGATTATTTACATCTTCATCAGTTTCTATTAATATGAAAAAAGAAATAGTTAGATATATATTTGATATTGGATATTGGATTGGCAATAACAAAGGTGTTAATTATCCTTATATTTTAAGAAAATTAATTCCACCAACTACATTTGTTACATTAAATTTATTTAAATACATAACTTATGAACAATTAATAATGTATATAATTGCTGATGAAGAAAAAATGGATACAATGCCAATTTATCAATGGCTTATTATTAAATATGAATTTATACAATACTGTACTGATATTATTATTCGTTGTGATATTAATAAATATGTTGAGAATATTGTTTTTGTATTAACTAATTCAAAAAGTAGTTCAGTTATTATTTTATTATTATATTCAATATTATGCATTATTTGTAATACAAATGAACCACCAGAATTATTAAAACAATGTATATCTATTTTTATTACAATGCTCAATACTAATAATCCACATATTTTTTGTAATACATTAAAAATCTTATATTTATTAGTTGGAGAAACAACTGAAATATTAAGTATTGTAAAAGAACGTTTTGAAAGAATTGATATGATAAAAGAATTATATGACACTGTAGTTCAATGTTGTAGTGAAACAATTAATTATAAATTAGAAAAACCAATTAGATTAGAACAAATTAACTCAATTAAGTATCCAAATATTCTTATTAATTTTATTAAAACAATGTTTTTAAGAATAATAGAAAGTACATCAGAAGAAGAACTAACAACAATAATATTAAAAGATTATTCAGAATGTAAAAGAAATCATTCAATTTTTTCAATTATCTCAATAAATGAAGAATGGGAAAATACTTTTTATTTATTACTAGATTTCCTTCATAAAAAGAAAGATAAAGAGAATTTGAAACGATTAATGAATGTATTATCAAATATTATTTTAGAATCATTTTATCAATACCAAACTTCTTTCCTTACAAATTCAATAATGAAATTACATAATCTCTTTAAAAATTGGAAAGACTTATATGAAATATTATTTGAGTTTTTTAAAATATTTCTTACAACAAAGCCATTTATTTGTGAATATCAAAATGTATTAATTATTGAATGTGGTACATTTTTATCATTTATAACTTGTGGAATGTTTAATTATGGAAGAAATAAATCAACATTTCATTTTGATGAACAATTTAATCTTATTTCTGAATTTATTAATCAAGTTGATGTTGCTGATTATTTAAAACAAATGAATTACTCTTATTCATATTTTAAAGAATTATATCCAATTTATTATTACTTTAATATAAATCTTATTATTTCTCAATTATGGGGATTAGTATATAAAGGGTTTAATGATACGTCAATGTATATGAAATTATTTGAAATGTTATGTGTTGTTTTTCCTTGTTACCCACTTAAAAGAAATCATATAAGTTATTTTAATTGGTTTTTATATACAACAACTCTTTTATTTAAACAACTAAACTTAAATCAGGAAGATATTGAAAAACTACAAAATTATCAATTAAATTGTATTCATTCAATTCAACAATATAACAATCAATTATTTAATAATATTTTAATAAAAAGAAAACAAATAATAGAAACTTCACATATTGATTTATCAATGAAAGATTCCGTTGCAGAATTTTATGATAGTTTAATGGAAGCATATCATTCAATTCAAACAACTATTCAACTTGAACAAATTGTTTTTAGTGATTATAATGTAGCACCATTAACAATACATAAATCTATTGGAATTAATAAAACACTTCCAAAACTTAATGAAAGAATTTTATTTAATACAAAAAAATATAAAAGTGATATTATTGCATTTAGAGAAAAAGAATTGATACGATTTAAATCTGTTGAACGAAAATTTATAAACGATTCAATTAATCAAAATGAAAATATTATTTCTTTTGATTTAAAAGGTTTTAATATTCCATCAAAACCTATTTTTAATTTAAAAAATTATCATAGAGGAAATATATTAAGTATTCAAGAAAGATTTATGATTGACCAAGAATCTTTTAATGATATTCAAGTACCATTTGATGCAGAATTAATAACACCATGTTTATTAATTTGTATTGAACAATATTATTGTGGAATGTTTTTTATAAAAGATAATAGTATTCATATTAAAATTAAAACACATTGGTATGAAAGACCATTTTCAAAAATAATACGTATTGTTCAAAGACATTTTAAAGATAATGACAATGCCATTGAAATATTTTCTTTAAATAAAAAACCATTATTTATTATGTTTTTTGATCAACAAAACTATCAAACAATATTTACACGATTAACATCATTACAATTAGAAATAAAAGGAAAATTTTCAGTTATACCAAATCCATCAAAAATATTTATTTATTGTTCATATACTAAAGATTGGATTGAAGGAAAAATAACAACATACGAATACTTATGTCAACTTAATTATTATTCTGGAAGATCCCTTATAGATATTTCTCAGTATTATATTTTTCCATGGACTACAACAGTATTTGATAAACCATTTAATCAAATATATAATAATACTATTTACACAAGAAATTTTTCACATAGCAGATGTTATTTACAACAAGGTTATTTTAATAAATATGGATTTAAATTTGGACCATTGCCATCTACAACAATCCTATTATATTTAAACCAAATAGAACCTTATAGAACATTATATTCTCTTTTTGAATCTCATTTTCATTGTTCAAAAAATATATTCAGTGAAACTTTAATTTCAAATTTTAATTACACTTCTATACCTTATCAAAAACTACAAGATATGACTCAAATTAATGCATTTGAATTTCCTTATGAATGTATACCTCAATTTTATTCTTGTTATAGTTTATTTACACCAAATGAAAAAGATTTTACTTGTATTAGATTTCCTAAAATATTTGCAGATAATTCAAAACAATTTATTTTATATCATAGAATGTTATTAGAATCACCAATAGTATCTGAAGAAATACATAAATGGTTTGAAATGACATTTGGAAAGAAAATGAATGAAAAAACTATTCCAGAAAATTGTAAAAAGAATTCTCAATCAAAGTTTAAACACCTAATTGGTCAACAACCACAATTGTTATTTAAAACTCATCCAAAAAGAAAAAAGTCATTTGATTATAGTGAACTTATTAAAGCTATGAACAATGAACAAAATAATTTATCAATTGATTTATTTAAAGAATTAAATCAATTTGAAACAAAATTTGAATTAATTCAAATGATGGATAATTATATTATTATTAAAAAATATGATGGAATTTCAGTATTATACTTTGGATTAAAAAAAATAAAAAAAGTTAATTGGAATGGAATACAAAATAAAGAAATTAATACAATTATGTTTTATGATGGAGATGAAACAATTGGAACTATTTATTATTGTATTGGATATTCAAATATTACTATTATTTATAAAGATCAACAAAAAGATATTACAACTTTAACTGGAAGTATTACTTCTATTACATTAAAAGAAGTTAATGAATTTTGTGTATTTGAATTAGAAGTTGGAACTTATTCTGGAGAGTTAGAATGTTATAAAATTATAATAGATAAAGAAATTCATGAAATCCAAATTTCATTCTATAATAAAATTATTATTTCATCAAATCCTTTAACTAATATCATATCATTACCACTTCTTGGTTATAGTGTTATTCAATCAAAAGATTTGTTTGTATATTCTCATTTAAATGAAAAAATAATATCTAAAATATGTTGCAAACAAGAGCCTCTTTTTGTTTGTAGTTCTTCAAATGGAAATATTTATTATACTCAAACTATACAATCTTCAAATGAAATACATTGTATTGATATAAATGGATATGAAACAGGAATAATAGTATTAAATGATAACATTGTATCTATGAATTGCATTTGTTGTACTTTTGTTGATTTTATTGTTATTGGTTTGAAGACAAAAGTATTAATTTATTTCAATAATTATTGTACTCCTCTGCTAGTTCATACATTAGATTTTAATACACTAGTTGAAAATGTTACTATTAAAAATATAATTGCACAACCATCTTCGTTAACAACTTCTATCAAAGAGAATTGGATTTTTATTATTCAAGGTCAAACAAAAGATCATCAAATTCTACGTTCATTTGTTTTGAATGATGTGAAACTTATTTCACTTTAAATAACACATTTTTTTTTTGTCATTATTTTGATAAAAAATAATAATAAAAAACTTAAAAAAAAGTACTAAAAGAGATTAAATGTCAAAAACACCTCGTTTTCAAGTAATGAAAGAAAATCCCCATCTTAAATCTTTATGTGAACAAGAATGTATATTAATTGATGGAATATTTGGAATGTGCTTATGTTTTTCAAGTGAAAGAATTGATATTATTTCAACAGAAAAAAGAAAATTTTGCTAATTAAACAATATAATTGACTCTCGATTTACATGTGTTTGTGAAAAGGGTTATGATTTAGCAGAAGACTATTTCACTATTAACTCTTT